TCTTGATTTGCTTACAATCATACTTCTTTTGGGACTCTAAAACATTTCCCTTGTGTAAGGTTACTCAGGACAAACGAGATGTGGAGTTTGCAGGTAGCGAACGTTCGAGAACATTTTGGACACCACCAATGGATCGCTACTTTATTGACTTACTGCTAGACCAAGTGCATAGAGGAAACAGATTGGACAGACATTTAATAGCCAGGCTTGGTTGACATGGTTACATCATTCAATGCAAACTTCAGATCTCACCATGACAAAGATGTTCTGAAGAATCGATACAAACATTTGAGGAGGCAGTACAACGAAGTTAAAATTCTTTTAGACCAGGTGGGCTTTTCTTGGGATGAAAAACGAGAAATGGTACAGCTGAAGATCATATCTGGGATGTTTATATCAAGGTGAAGTGTGGTTTATCTCTTCACATCATAATGTTTTGGTTGATCTTTATTTCGTAAGTATAATTTGTGCAGGCACATCCTGATGCTCGATCATACAGAGTTAAAACAGTGCCACCATCACAAGCTGTGTGTTATTTATGGACAAGATAATTCTGATGGAAGATACAGCCGTTTGGCTCGCAATGTAGACCCAGACAGTGTATATTAATGACAGGTAAAGGTCCGTGTGGCACTTGAATTACTTTCTGCAATGCATGAGAAAGTGAATGTGTTCTTCCGTCAATTATATTATTCCAGGTAGGAAGTGTCAAGTTCTCTCCTCAAACAGTTATAAATTTTTTTCATGTTACTTGACTGTACATGATCTTGTTCGAATCTTCTAAAAATTGTATTTGTTGTTATTAAATGCCTTTGTTTCATGCCTAATGTTCTATTCTAGGCATTTACTTCTGATATGCATAGCTCGATTTGCAGTTATAATCCTTGACTGTATCGTATGAAACCTTAATGCCCTTGTCTTTATGACAATCTACAAGGGCTGTAGTTGAAATTCTCCCTTGGTATATTTTATCAGATCTAAGGGTAACTGTGGTATTTTCTAAAGAAATTATGTGATGAGTCTGATGACTCAAAACTTGGTTCAAATTATACAAAGAAGAGATATAGGAAAAGAGGAGAGAATATAAAACCTATGAGAAAATAAAATCTAAACTACCTCTAATAAAATTGGCAAGGATAATATAAAATCTTAATAACCCCCCCTCCCTTTTCAAACTCATGATGTAATGATATTAAGCCTTGAGAGTTTGTCAAGTAGAAAACGAAAACGTTGAATGGTATGGGACTTGGTGAAAAAGTCGGCAATTGCATAGTGGAAGAAACAAAAAACAATGAAAGAGTCCCAAGCTATAGATGGTGGTGTACAAAATGACAGTTAATTTCAATATATGCTTGGTCTATTTGTGGAAAACAAAATTGTGTGCAATTTAAATGACACTTTGTTATCACAATACATAGGAGAGGGGCCAGAAAAGGAAACCCCTAAAGCAACCATCTTAGCCAAACTATTTCCAGCGTAGTAATAGCCATAGCATGATATTTAGCATTAGTAAGGGAGCAAGCAACAACTTTTTGTTTCTTGTTTTTCTAAGAAGTAAGAGAATCACCCCAAAAAACACACAGAAACTAATGGTAGATTCATGATCCATGAAATGACCTGTATAGTCAACATCAGAAAAGCGGGAAGCTCCAAAGAAGATGGGGAAGAAAAAACATAAACTTTGATGCAAAGTGCCGCGAAGATAGCTAGCTCAAAATATGAAGTACTGTAGCCCAATGATCTGTGGTTGGAGAAAAGACAAACCGACTCACAACATGAATGACATGAGCAATAACAGTTCGTGTAACAATGAGATATAAGAACCCAGTACAAAGTAGGATAACCAAAGGGATATTATCAATAAAAGTGTCATACACATTAAACTCGAGAGGAGTCTCAAATATTCGAGAATCTGTTCATTGAATAACATCACCTGCATACATGGACTAAGAAAGAAGATAACCCTTAGGAGATGAAGCCACTTTAATGCCAAGTAAAATATCGAAAGGGCGCGAGATATTTCATCTCAAATTGCTATTGTAACTGCGCCTTTAAAACTAAAATACCCTCACAATAATTTTCAGTAACAATCATATCATTAACACATAAGAGGAGATACTCTGACCAGTGGAACTCTAACAAAGAAAAAGAGTAGAATCGTGATCGTTGGAAGAAAGCCTAAATCACTTAGTAGGGAACTTCTCATTCTAAGCTTGAGGAGTCGGCACGAGACTATACCTCACCTGGAGAACGGGGAAGACTAGGAGGAGGAAGCACAAAAACCTCTTCCACTAAATTGCCATTTAGAAAAAACATTCTTCACATCCATTTGAGACAATTTTCATTGGTGAACACCAATCAAAGTATGAACAGTGATTATTTTTGCAAGAGTCTCTTTAAAACCATTGCCATATTTTTGTGCAAAAGTCTTGACAACTAATTTGGTCTTATATCTTTAAACAGAACTATTAGTGTTAGTTTTTATTTTATCTATCCATTGACAGCCAACAATATGCTTAACAGCAGCTAAGGATCAAAATATCATTTTGAAACGGTCGAAACATCCGAAACATTTCTGTTTTCAAGGACACCGAAACGAATCAGTAATAGAATCGAAATTCTAATACTTCGAGGTGTTTCATAATGTTTCGAAATATTTTGCTATATTTCAATGCATTTGTACAATTATTTCGGAATGTTTTGAAAAAAAATTCTTAAATTCTTAAATTTTTTATTTTTTTCATTATATTTTTGAAACGGTTTGAAATATTTTTAAAACATGTGAAGACGTTTCCATTTCCTAGGTGACTGAAGCAATGCACTTAAACGAAATTTTGATCCTTGACAGTAGTTAAAGGTACAAGATCTCATGCCTTAGTTTTATGCAATGCAGAAGTTCTTCATTCATAGCTTGCTGCCTAATAGGATCAAAAGTAGCCTCCTTATAGGAGTTAGGTTCAAACAAAGAGTAAACAGAAGATAAAAATGAACAATGAATAATAACAAATGTTAGATAAATCAAGGGGGTCAAGACAATTTCAAATTCGCTATAGGGTATCAGAAAGATGAAGGATTCACATCATTAGAAACTGACGGAGACACAACTTAAAGAGGTAAAGGACTTGTGCCGGCAACAGAGTTAGTCAAATTCCTCCAAGAGTAAGTGAACAATATAAGGAGGCACCCTTGAGAAGAGTAAGGTTGAGACAAAGGGCACATATCAAAAGTGAGAATGCCACGAACATAAGAATCACCAAATATATCATCACAAAAAGGGTCAATGTAAATAAAATCAGATCTATTGAAAGTGTTACAAGTATTGGGAATAAAAAAGAAAAAAATATACTCAAGAAAGACCATATATCTAGAAATATACAATCTTTTGGCAACATGGTCATATCATAACAAGAATATCTCTTTTATTTCTCACTATAATTGATAAAACATGTAGTAGAACGAGCAACTAACTTCAACTTATTTCGTTCCGCTTTAGGAAGCAGAACAAAACAAGTGCAACTAAAAACACGTAAGGAGAAATAGTGAGAATCACCTCTCTCCAAAAAAGAACTAGGAACAGAGGCAACTAAAAGTAACGAGTGAGTAGTCTCTATGGGATCTCTGTTTTTCTCAGCCATACCATTTTGTTTAGGAGTATTTGCACAAGGGGAGTGTTGGACAGTTCCATTAGATTTCAATAAGTCCACAAAATCATTATATCTGTACTCTGCAACCAAATTACATCGAAAACATTTAATAAATGAAGAATATTGTGTTTGAACCATAACAAAAAATGCAGCAACAACATCGAAGAATTTTTATGGGGAATGGATTGTCCCTCTAGATGAAACACATGGGATTAAGACACTACCATGAGGGAGTGGTCTCTATTAATTTTAAAGTTAGAAACCAAGCAAAATCTTATCCTATTGAGCACTAAAGGGTATTGCTTAAATAGGGTCCGTTTAATGACTCAATCTTATGTTTTCAAAACACAATAAAGGTTTAGAAAAAGTTTTCTTTGAAGAACACGTAGGAGTCATTAACGGATTAAATACAAATTCCATTTTACCCTAATCATACTAAGTCTAGAATTAAACCAAACTTAATTTATGGAAAATTTTGGGGCAGTTGTGAAATTTCTAAAAGTTTTGGAGCCTATATAATTTATTTTAACATTTTGTGGCCCTTCTATAATATCTGGAAATTCTGGGGCTATTGTGTAATTTTTGAAAATTCTTGGTTGTTCTTCAATTCTGAAAATCCTGTGGTAAATTCTGTAATTTCTGAGAATGCTAAGGTTGATTCTGTAATTTGTAGAGCCATTGGGGTCAAATTGGAATGTCTAGAAACTCTGGAATTGATTCTGTAGTTTCTGAAAATTCTGAGGTCAAACCTGGAATTCCTAGAAAAGTGTGTTTTACAGCATTAGGTTTTGTAGCATCTGGTATACAGCTTCAGATTTCAGGTTCCTTTTACATTTTAATAGTCTAATCATCAGCAATTCAGGGTCTCTGGTTTTCAACTGATTCCGAATAAACTGCAAACTCCAAATACTTGGCAAATAAAGTGAGGTTTACAACTTCTGGTTCAACAGCATAGGCCTTCACTTCAGCGACGATAATTTCAACTCCAGTGATGACCAATTACATTAATGAAACAAAATAGAAGATCAAAGCAACATCAAATCAATAGAACCAATCAAACCAGCAGAATTAGATTAACAGCCGCATGAACAGACCAGCATATTAAACAACCAGTAAAGTAGCAAAATCAGAGAACAAACAACAGCAGGATCAAACCAGTAAAACAAACAACCCTGAACATCAACAAACCAATTGAAGCAACCTAGAAAATCAAAGCACCAAGGATTGTCAAATCAAAACGACCATTGAATGATAATTCAGTTGCAAGAGAGTAGCTTTGATACCATGAAAACTTGGTTCAAATTATATACAAGGAAGAGATTTAGGAATAGAGAAGAGAATGTTGCTGCTTCATTCCAACATTCCATAATAGATAGAATCATTAAACCTTACAACAAGAGAAGGAGAATATAATAACTACGAGAAAAGAAAATCTAAACTATCCCTAATAAAATAGGCAAGGAAATATAAAATCTTAGCAATGACATTAACTTTTCGTTTATCAGATGTGGTTATTAATGGTAGGGGTGTAAGTGGAGTTTTAAAATATACTAGGGGCCGGATGGGGATAATGAAGAATTTTTTGGGGAAAAGGAGTAGTGATGGGAGAAAGGATCCTGTGATTAGCTAGGTGGTGGTATCTAGGCATAACGTAAAAGATGATCTTTTGGAGGGAAATTTGTTGGCTAGAAATGTAACTGTGGTTGAAAAATAGCTTTAGAAATTTCTTTTGGTACAAAATTCATTATGGCACTATATTATTAGGAGCAAATATGGTCTACAAGCCGGTTGGTGGGATGGTAATGTGATGTAGATTGTAGATAGCTTTGATACCAATTGATGTAGATCATAGATAGCTTTGATTCCCATTGATGTAGATCGTAGTAGCTCTAATACTTGATGTAGATCAAGAAAAAAATAATGAGGATGAGAATAGGAGAAGAAAATGGATGAGAAACAAAAGAA